ACATATGTTATTTTTCAATTTTTGTAGGGTTTAAGCAAATAATCTCCAATATTGATCAAACTAAAAAGTAAGCTTTGAAACTGTAAAATGTTATAGTTTCAAAGCAAAAATCTATTAAGTATTTATCTTTATTAATCAAACTGAAAAACATGTTATGAAACTGTAAAATTTTATAATTCTAAAGAATGTTATGAAATTGTAAAATTTTACAATTTTAAACCATGATTCATTCCAGTATCAAAAAAAATTGAAACTACAAAATTTTACAGTTTTCACCGCCTGTAACTAAAACTCAAAAACAACTTGTTCAAAACTTGAAATTTTTTTCCATTAAAACAAGAAAAGAGAAGTGTATAGTAGAAAAAATGTAGAAAAAATTAAGAGATTGAAGAAGAGAGACATATATAGAGAGAGGATTGTACTTCGACAACTATTTTTTATTTAGATCTAGTCGGATCTGATGTAGATCTACTTAGATCTACTCATCTTCTTCATCGGAAACATATCTTCTTCACTGTTGGTGAGGGTAAAGTAAGGAGTCGACGGTCGGTGGTTACCGATGAACCCCAATCGATGGTAGTTGTCAGTTACCGGTAGCTATATATATATCAAGAGAAGAAGTAAGATGTGATTGCTCGTCAATGATTGCCAGAAATCAGAAAAAGGAAGAGGCGGAGAAGAACAAGGGCTGAGAAGAAGAAAAACGTTATAGGACTTTTGAGTGTAAACAAAAGATTGTAGGACTAAATAGGTCATACATTTTTCAAACAAGACTTCTTGGTAATTTGTCTAAAATTCTTAGGATAAAACAAATCACCATTCCTCAAGATAGAATTTATAAATAAATTTTCCTATATTTTAATATATTTATGACATCACGATTCAATTCTGGTGTAACAACCCTCACTTTACTCTAGTCATGCTTGCATATATTACATGATCTTGTCTTGATATGTTGCATTTGCAAAACCTTGATTTGTCTTGCATAAGTGTTACTTGCATGCTTTGTTCCTTGTTTGGTGTGTGTGTTTAGCCTAGGTTAATCCAAGCCGAGGTCACCTTAGGCTTAGAACCATCTTGGAACCACTTTGGTTGACCTCCACCTTCACCAGGGCATGTTGGCCGAGATGTCATCAGCTAGGCCGAGGTGTTCATCACCAAGGCCGAGATGTGTATTATCTAGGCCGAGATGTTACCTTTGCGCCTAAGTGATCTTGTCCCTGGATTGGTGCGACCTAGACCGAGGTGTGGCATATCTAGGCCGAGGTGTGGCACAGCTAGGCCAAGTGTTGTCCTTCTTAGCCGAGATCATTGTTCCCTTACTTGTCGATGCCTTATTCTCAGCCGAGATCATTACCTGCCGGAGTGCCTATGCCATCTTGCTTGTTGAACACACTTTGTCATAGTCTTGTCTTTTCAGTCAGTCACTTTTTTTTTGAAGAACCAACCAACCGTTGCCACGTGTCCGAGCTGAGTGTTAAATCAGCCGGCAGAGAGAGAAATGCATCATTTTGTATCATATCTTGTTCTTGAGGAGAGAGAAGTTCTTAGAGGAGGAATAGATTTCCAAGCTTGATCCTTAGAGTTCAAACCGTTTGATTTATGTCTTGAGGTTAGAATCTTGATCTACTCTTGTTGTTCTTATTGTTCATCTAGCTGCATTGCATGATCGAACACAATTTGTAAGCCATGCATTGATTTAAAAGTTTGGTTTTAGAAAGAGAAAGTGATATTCATGTGTTCTTGAATAAAAGCCTTGCTTGATCCGAAAGCTTGCATCAAGATTCATGTTTTCGTGTTTGTCTTCATAAGATCTTTAAGTATAAGTACCCAGGTCTATGTTTTCGAACTCATCTCATGAAATCCCAGATTTCGTAATAACAAGTTGTGATTGAGCATTCATGTTTTTCATGTTCTTCATGTTCTTCAGTTGATGGAAACCCAGATTTTTCCGACTTCGTTTCCTTGAATGTGGCTATCGGGACCACACCTCGGCAAGGAGGTGTGGGACCTCGGCCAAGACCTGGTTGGTGACCATTATGTTTTCCCGAGATGAGGAACAATGTTTTGTTTTGGTTCGACTTAGTTTTGAAGGAGTGCCGAGATCATTTGCATTCATGTAAAGCTTGTTTGATAGTGCATTCAATGGGATTTGTTATGTGCTTGTAGGTCTTGGATCCTTGCTTGTAACCTCGACGTTTGAAGAACTATGTGAGTGGTATTTTTAATAAAGCTATGTTATAACGTTTTGATAAAGCTTTGCTTTGCCTTGTTTTGGAAAAGTATTTGTTAAGCATGAATGACTATCTCTATTTTTGTGTGTCAAGTATTAGCCTTGGTTTTGATAAAACCTTTGAAAGTCCGTACGTGCTAGGGGACTATAAGCATTTGTAGCACAACCTTTGAAAGTCCGTATGTGCTAGGGGACTATAAGCATTTGTAGTACAACCTTTGAAAGTCCGTACGTTCTAGGGGACTATAAGCATTTGTAGCACAACCTTTGCTAAAGTCATCCCTTGAAGCTTGAAAGATTTGTTAGATGAATTGGATTCATCCCATGTTTTGTTATAAGCTATAATTATGTACTGTTTTGTTAAAGAACTCGGATATCATGCATGCAAACCCTTTATTACTTGTACCATTCACTGAGTATCCAAGCTCACCCTCTCTCTATATATGTAGGTGATGAGCAGGACGGCGGCGACACCTAGATGTGCTTTGCAACTTGTTTTTGGGATTCGTATTTTGTAGCATTTTGAAGATCATGCTTCTTAGCTTGCATTTCATTGTATTTTGTATATGATGGCTCGAGAAGCCTTTTGGTCAAGATGTATTTTTGTACTTCATTTTATTGTACCCAAGTTGTAAGACATTGTTAAGATGTATGTCATTCCATTTGACTTATGCACAGCTCTTATGGACTAATTAGAATTGTATATATTGCTTCCGCACTTGTGAGCCTCATATATTTACACTCTGATTGTGTGTGAAATTTTGGAAGTTGGCCTTCGGTAATCTCGGATTACTGGCCATCACGGCACCATTCTACTAGGGGCAGAATGGGGTCGTGACATCTGGTTTACTCGCATTTGAATTAGTGAGCCGTCCGCCCGGTCAGGAGTGGCTCCAACACATGGCCAGGGGTGTTACCTAAATCCCCTAGATGATTTTTATTTTTATTTTTTATTATATAAGTATTAGATTTTAGGAGAAAAAAATCAGCAACAGAACCCACTAAAATATAATTTTGAACTCATAGTTTTCAGTCCCAAAACTTTGAACCCACCAATAAAGAAAGCTTACTTTTTGCTTTTGCATATTTTTTGTTTAAAATATTTTATTTGTAAAGCTCTTTTCTTTCTTTTGTCGACTTTTTGTTTAAAATATTTTATTTGTAAAGTGATGGTTTGTATTCTTGCTTTGTATTTTATCAGTTGCGGCTGCAACAATGGGAAGATCATTTTCAGCAATGAAATGCATAAAGAATCGATTGCGTAACTGAATGGGAGATCAATGGTTGAATGATTGTTTGGTTGCATATATTGAGAAAGATGTATTTGATAGTGTTGATAATAAGCTTATTATGCAACGATTTCAAAATATAAAATCTCGTCATAGTCAATTGTAAAAGCTCGTGTATTAGCATGTCTTTTTGTTTAAACAATAGTATCAATATGTTGAAATATTTTTGTTTATAATTTCAAAAATTAAATTAATTTGTTGATTTTTTTCTCTATAGGTGATATAATGATTAATGTGAATTTTCTGTAAGACATATGACATTTAAGTTTTTGTTTGACACCACTGACAAAAATTCCTGGAGTCACCAATGCGCCCGGTCACTTTTTCAATTCGCTCACCGGTCTAATTTTCAAAAGATTATTGGAAATACCATATAAATGAACAATAATAAATAAATAAATAAATTATAAATTAATAATTATAAATGGGAATTGTGTTATTTTTCATGTGTCATTTGCACTATTAGTTTTCAATTTTATTTTTTAGTTCTCAACCCAGACCCTTATGGATAGCTTAATAGTAAAAGTGTTTGTCATGAAAATTGAAATGAACCGAATATACATTCTAGGTTTGACTTTTTCTAATGTTATGATCAATTTTAATTGATACACATGATTTGTAAACAACTATGAATATCAAGAGTTTACTTTGCATAACGAATTTAATGTGATCCTAGTTATGCGTGGATCACTCAATCCTCCTTATATTATTTGTTATATGTTTGTGCCTATTATGTTAGATTTTATTATTTTCATGATATTATTTGTAATATATTTCCTACCAAAAAAAATAAAATAATAATAATAATAATAAAAAAGAAAAAGAAAAAGAAAAAGAAGATAGATTTTATTATTTTCATGATATTATTTGTAATATATTTCCCAAAAAAAAAAAAATAATAATAATAAAAATAATAATAATAAAGAAAAAGAAAAAGAAAAAGAAGAGGCTGATTACAACAATTTCAGTGAAGGTTGTGAAATACTATCTCACAACTTAAAGCTGCATTTTCAAAAGTACACATACTCTGCAATAATATTTGCCAATTTCTTGCAAATAACAATGGGTTAATTACACTTTCTAACCCCTATAGTTTGACTCAAGTTTTACTCTACTCCTTAATTTCACTTCTTATTATTTCAAATTGAACATTGTCCCTATACTTTATATCTAGTTTTTGTTTGGTCTTTTCGTTCAAATTGAAGGTTAAAATGAACGATTTTAGAATACTTGCCAATCTTTTAAAGCATACATGGAGGAAAAACTAATTGAAATTTGGATTGCCTCAGCAACCAAATTATAATGACAAAAACCAAATTACATCTCTGGGTTGCCTGCCTCAGCAACCAAGTTTGTGATGAATATTCAAATACTCATTGCCATATATACACATGCTTAATCCACATAGAGTTCTCCAAATACATCACAGTTGACACAACACAAACAGAATTATAAACCTTACAGATAATTTAAGAACTCTAAAGAAAACCCTTCTCTTTGCAGCATCGAATTGTTTCATCGTACATTTCTTCAAGGCTGTACTTAAACTTGAACCCAGTATCCAACAACTTCTTTGACGAGAGGTGAGGAGGTGTAAAACATTCGATTTCTTTTAAGGCGCTGCAGAAGTAAATTGGGGTGATGACTGAGATATTGGTTTTTTCTGACAAAGGAAAATAACAAGAAAAAAATTGGGAAAAGTAAACAAAATTAGAACGAACTCCGGTCTTGCTATTGGATGTTTGGGTATCTGGATGATAGAGTTCCACAAATCTTATCAATTGTTATATCAAATGCCGAACACAAATACCTCCCTTCTGCATCAGGATGCTCAAGAAGGAAGATGTGTGCATTCGCCACACATCTTATCAATTGTTATATCAATTGATGATTAGAACGAACTCCGGTCTTGCTATTGGATGTTTGGGTATCTGGATGATAGAGTTCCACACATCTTATCAATTGTTATATCAAATGCCGAACACAAATACCTCCCTTCTGCATCAGGATGCTCAAGAAGGAAGATGTGTGCATTCGCCACGTCGTCTATGTGCACCGTTTGTATTCTAGCAAGATACTTGTATTTATCTTCCTTGTCTGCATAGAATAAAAAATAAATACATAAATGCGATGAATAAATTCAATATCTAACTTCAACTGAATATATCACCCATATATTTGATAGCCCTCCCTCCTTAATTGTCTCAAAAAATGCAGATCTGAAATATACATACATATATATATGCATTCCGTGTTCTATCCTTTGTTAGTAGCAAATTTGTTTCATAATACTTGAATCAGATAACTTCGATAAACTGCAATAGTTCTAGTGAAATTCAAGCAAAGGTAGGTCTTGAGAAGCAACGCGTACCGAGGATCTTAGCCATTGAAACGTTTACTGAACTGGGCACACGAGGACAGATGAAGGGTCCACCGATAATGTCACGACCCCAAACCGCCCCTAGTAGTTTGGTGCCGCGATGGCCAGTAATCCGTAATTACCGAAGGCCAACTTACAAAATCCACACACAATCAAAGTATAATACACGGGGCTCACAGATGCGGAAGCAATAAATCAAATACAAGTGGTCCTTAAGAGCTGTGCATAGATTAAATGCAATGTCATATATCTTTTGCAACTTGAATACAACAAGTAAAACACATGTTACATCTTGATCAAAAGGCTTCTTGAGCCGACATATACAAAATACAGCAAATGCAATCCAAGAAGCATGATTTTCAAGATTCGCCGACATGGTTACAAAATAAAGCCGACATAAGCACGGATCCAAAACAAGCTTTCAAAATAGTCTAGGCGTCGCCGACGTCCTGCTCATTACCTACATATATATAGAGAGGGTGAGTCTGAATACTCAGTGAATGGTACTAATAATAAAGGTTTGCATGAATACAGCCGGAGTCTTTCAAACAAAGCACATCAAAACCTTATTGAACAAGGGATGAACCGTATTCATCATTCAAGTATTACCAGTTACAACATCGGCGAAGCAAGGGATGAACCGTATTCATCGATCAAGTATCATAACATCGGCGAAGTAAGGGATGAACCGTATTCATCAATCAAGTATCATAACATCGGCGAAGTAAGGGATGAACCGTATTTGTGTTACTTAGGCCCGTAGCCTGATTTAACAAGGACCGTATCCTTTTATACTTGGTACTGCGAAAGTTTAGAGTCCTCCAGCACAATGGACTTGTGTTACTTAGGCCCGTAGCCTGATTTAACAAGGACCGTATCCTTTTATACTTGGTACTGCGAAAGTTTAGAGTCCTCCAGCACAATGGACTTGTGTTACTTAGGCCCGTAGCCTGATTTAACAAGGACCGTATCCTTTTATACTTGGTACTGCGAAAGTTTAGAGTCCTCCAGCACAATGGACTTGTGTTACTTAGGCCCGTAGCCTGATTTAACAAGGACCGTATCCTTTTATACTTGGTACTGCGAAAGTTTAGAGTCCTCCAGCACAATGGACTTGTGTTACTTAGGCCCGTAGCCTGATTTAACAAGGACCGTATCCTTTTATACTTGGTACTGCGAAAGTTTAGAGTCCTCCAGCACAAGGGACTTTCCCAGAATGACATCAAAACGAGGCTTACACTAGATACATCAGAACAGGGCTATTCATTCATGCTTAACAAATACTTTCAGTCAAATAAAACAAAGCAAGATTTATCAAAACAAGTATAACATAGCTTTATCAATAATACCACTCACCTAGTTCTTCAAGTGTAGACTCAAAGCAAAGATCAAGGTCCTACAAACACATGGCAGATCACATTCTCAAAACGAGCTAAACCTATATACGAATGATCTCGGTATTCTAACAGATCCAAATAACCATCAAAGCAAAACATGCTGGGAGTTAGAACACTGCTCCCGTCTCACGAAAACACACTGGGTACCAACCAGGTTTTTGCCGAGGTCCCACACATCCTTGCCGAGGTGTGGTCCCGTTGGCCTCAACCAAAAGCAAAGTCGGGAAAACCTAGGTTTCCCTTGAATAACATGAAGAATATGATGAACATGATCATGAGAAGATGAATGTAAGATCAAAACTTGTTACAAAATCTGAGATTTCGTGCCATGATTTCAAAACATGGATCTGGGTACCCGTACAAGAAAGTCATGCAAGAACAAACATAAAAAGATGGTTTTCGTTCCAAACTTTCGGATCAAAACGAGGCTCTCTTTCAAGAACATATGAAAAATCATTTTCTCTTTCCAAAACCAACTTCAAATCGGTGCAAGACATGCAAAACAGATTCGATCATGCAATGCAGCTAGATGATCAACAACAACAATCAAAGTAGATCAAGATTCTAACCTCAAAACTCTAACCCAACGGTTCAAACCACGAAGATTAAGCTTGGAAGACTTACCCTCACTCAAGAACTCCTTTAGAGCTTCTCTCTCTAAAAACAAAGATTGAGACAAGAATGATGTGTTTCAAGGTCTACCGGCTGTCTTAACAACCAGCTCGGACACGTGGCGCTACCGGGTTGGTTCAGATCAAAAGGTGATTGATTGATAAGACAAGTCTCTGACAAAGAGTATGCAGCAAGCTCGGTACAACACATCGGCAATGAACGACATTGGCTCGAATCAAGGATAAGGCAACAGGGTAACAAAACATCGGCTAGGGAGGACGACGCTTGACTAAGCTGTGCCACACCTTGGCCGGGGTGTGCCACATCTCGGCCTAGGCCATACCTGCCCAAGGACAAGGTTCACTAAGTGCAAAACATCTCGGCAATAAATGCCCGAGGTGAAGATGGGGGTCGACCAAGGTCTCAAAATAGTTCTAAGTACAAGGGTTCAAAGGCGAACTAAGCTCAAGGCGACCTCGGCCACACACACACTGAACAAGGAACAAAATCACGCAAGTAATACAAACAAAACAAGGCAAGCATAACCTTCCAATTAACATAACAAGGCAAGATCATGCAGGATTGTATGCAAATATGACAAGAGTAAGGTGAGGGTTGTTACAGATAACAATAGGAATTACAGTGACAAGATCCAATCCATGTTTTCCAGCAAACTCTAGAGCAGCCTTCTCAGTTAATGTCTTCGAGATCATGTATGAAGCTCCATAACAATTTAAGGATCTAACAAAATCTATATCACTCCAATGTCTCTCATCCAAAACATCTAAGCCCTTGCCATTAAGAATAATGGTGGATGAGCTAGAAGTGTATACAACCCGTTTCACTGTGTTTGATTTAAGGCATGCTTTTAAAATGCCAAGGGTCGCATTGATAGCTCTTTGGGTCTCGACTTCTTCAGGTTCTTTGTCCTCAAAATCAATGGGGTAAGCAACATGGAAGACTCCAATGCACCCTTGGATTGCTTCATCAAAACTTTCAAGCAGGGCAAGATCTGCATTGAAAATTTGAAGTTTTTCTGATGCACCAGGCAGGTTTGTGAGGTAGCTAAGGTCTTTCTTGCTGTCTGGTCAGAAAACCGTTGATGAAAAATGTCAAACTCTTATGACTTAGAACTTGATATACCAATTGGTCTGAAAAATAGCAAAGACATATCTGTAAGCAATTTTAAAATCTGTTCTGTAGCAGTGGAAACTGGTGGACTTGTAAATGTAGCTGGCTATAAGACCAACTTGTAAATGGGTGCTACAAATCATAAAGTCTAGTACAAACATACAATGAAGCCAAATACAGAACCCAAGGGCACACATAAACATGACTAAGCAAGCTAAACGCTTCACAATGCGATCCATAGACCTATCCTATGAGGAGAAGGCCAAAACACAAAATAAGCATTCCAATCTGAGCGGATGAGTTCCATTTATATATATATATATATATATATTTATTCATTGGAAATCAAAAAGGTCATTACCATGATTCATTACTACAAATATATCACAGCAGCATATTCTATATGACTTTTCTATATAAAATTTTTGTTATGTTTAGCATTTTGATATATATGTATGTGTGTGTACATTCTTTACATCTATATAACAAAAACCTGAACACTTAATAAAAAAAGCGCGATTAAATTACTCTGTTCTGACCTTTTTTTTTAAGATCCTAAGGCCCAAACTAGAATATTATTTTGCAGTATTACTTGTACTTTGATATCCTAATCCTAACAAGCAAGAATCAGAGTCTTTACAGTGACTTGGGGTCTTGAGTTCATAAAGGTCGACCTCAAAATTCAACATGATCTAATTGAAAACCCATGAGATGAGATTTACAGTCATAGATATACAAGCAAGTGATCACTATGCTTTGAGAAGGGTAAAGAGGCAGGCTTATTAATTACCTGGGTTAGAAGATCTAATTGTAGTTCGCACTGTGTAATCATGTTCAAGTAGCTTCATGATCAGCCATGATGCAACAAACCCTGTTCCACCAGTTACACAAACAATACCCTCATCATTCCCTTCCATCTCTCTCTCTCTCTCTCTCAATTGATGTGTATTTGAATATGTACACACAAACACACAAATATATATGTTACTTTTCTTTGCACTAGTACTCTGTTTTGTATCTTTTATGCCTTATTTTATTCTTTGCAAAGACTAGTGTTTATGTGGACAATTATTGTCTGTGCCACCCTTTCTTTGGTGAATCTGCATCTCATCCAAAAATTACTTTGTCACCCAAACACATCATATAAATGGAAAATAAGAAAAATAGTAATAAAATGATGAATTGTAAGTGAATGTAAATGGGAATTGTGTTATTTTCACCAGGTCTAGATATCATTTGCACTTTGTTAATTTTAATTTTCTCATTTATCTGATGCTTTTGAAATAACAACTCTACCCAAATCCGTATGGATAGCTTAGTAGTGGTATAAGTGTTTTGTCTTGAAAATTGAAATGAACCGTAAATCTAGATGCCCCAGGTTTGATTTTTTCCAATCTTACAATCAGTTTTAATTATTACAAATTGTGGATGCACTATCCGACATCGCCCTGTGAGAGATCACAGCTCCACTACATAAGTGGACAAACTCCCTTAAACTAGTATGAGGCCTTTTAAAGCCGTGAGGGGTTAGCTGTTGGTTTTCGCCTAACTCTAAAGCCGACAATATCATGCTAGTCGGGGAGGGTGAGTTGTTTCATTTGGCTCCGTCTATGTCTCAGGCCGTCTGTGAGCAGGGATAGCTGTTTCATTTGTTCCCTGCTCAGGCAGCCAATCCATTGGGGAGAAGAATCCATTGTGAACTGGCCTACTCTGCATAGATGGATCCAATGTGACCCTAGCTACAATTCCGCCTTATATTATTTGGGATGTTTGTTAGATTTGTTATATGTTTGTGCCTATATGTTAGATTTTTATTATTTTCTTGATATTATTTATGTCACATCTCCTACCAATTACCCAAAATATATTTTTTTTGTCAATTTCTCATAACTCTAGTATTACAAATCACAAATTATAATGACACAAAGCAAATTACATCTCTGGGTTGCCTCGGCAACCAAGCTTTGGGATGAATACTCAAATGCTCACTAGCTATACACACGCCAAATACAAAACAGTTGACACAACGAAGACAAAAAAATAAAAATAAAAATTTCATAGTTTACAACATTATAAACCTTAAAGATATTTTAAGAACTCTAGATAAAGCCCTTCTCTTTGCAGCATTGAATTGTTTCATCGTACATTTCTTCAAGTCTGTATTTATATTTGAACCCAGTATCCAATAGCTTCTTTGATGAGAAATCAGAACGTGTAAAACATTCAATTTCAATCTCTTTTATGTTGTGTTTGGTTGAGGGATTTGAGGAGGGATTTGGAAAGGGAAATGGAAAAGGTATGTGAAATATGAATAAAACATGCCTAAATTTCACATAGTTTCACACACCTTTTCCCTTTCCCTTTCCAAATCCCTCCCCAAATCCTCCAACCAAACACACTATTAAGGAACTGGAGAAATAAATGGGTTGATGACTGAGATATGTTTTTTTTCTGACAAATGAAAATAACAAGACAAAAAATATGGGAAAAGTAAACAAAATTAGAGCTCACTCGAGTGTTGGTATTGGATATTCTGGGTATCTGGCCGATAAAAATTCAAACATCTTATCGATTGTTATGTCAAATGCCGAACACAAATACCTCCCTTTTGCATGAGGATATTCAAAAAGGAAGATATGTGCACTGGCCACATCGTCTACATGCACCATTTGTATTTTACCAAGATACTTACAATTTTCTTTCTTCCCTGCATAGAATGAAATAAATAATTGTGAAGAATAAATTCAATATGACTTCAATTGACTATATCACCATAAGATTTGATGGCCCTCCTTAATTGTTTTCAAAAACTGCAGGGCTAATATTATTTTATTTTTGAGCAAGCTAAGCTGATTCACGAAGGTAAGCAACAACTCAGGCTTCAACTTGAATCAGATAACTTTGATAGCCTGAAATAGTTCTAGCAAAATTCAAGCAGAGGGCACAAGAATCAACACGTACCGAAGATCATTGCCATTGAAAAGTTTACTGAACTGGGCACACGAGGACAGATGAAGGGTCCATTGACAACGGTAGGAATTACAGTGACAAGATCCAATCCATGTTTTTCAGCAAACTCTAAAGCAACCTTTTCAGTTAATGTCATCGAGATCATGTATGAAACTCCATAAATCTTTACGGACCTAATATAGTCTATATCACTCAAATGATTCTCATCCAAAACATCTAAACCCTTGTCGTTAAACATAATGGTGGATGCGCTAGAAGTGTATACGACTCGTTTCACAGTCTTCGAATCAAGGCATGCCTTTAAAATGCCAAGAGTCCCATTGATTGCTCTTTGGATCTTGATTTCTTCAGGCTCTTTCTCCCCGTAATCAACCGGATGAGCCACATGGAAGACTCCAATGCAGCCTTGGATAGCTTCATCAAAACTTTCCGGCAGATCAAGATCTGCATTGAAAATTTGAAGCTTTTCTGATGCACATGGAAGGTTTGTGAGGTAGCTGAGGTCTTTCTTGCTATCTGGTCAGAAAACCATAGATGGAAAATGTCAAAAATTCAAGACATTGCACTAATTTGAAGTGAAAATAACAAAGACACATCCGAAGGAGTTTTAAAAACTGGTGGCCTTGTGAATTCGGCTTTATGACAGAGTAGTAAATGGGTACTACGTACAAATTGGTGCTCTGAAAGTGTTGCCCACAACTGAACATCTCAAGCATGTCACAACAACCCAAGCTGCCCAATCGTGTTCTAGAAAAAGATACAGATTCCCACCATTTCGCAGATGCAATAAACATCTCCATTTCGTAATGAATTTTTGAAATTTTTTTTTTATATTTTGTTAATTTTTGTATTTGGTGAATTTTTTTTTTTAATTTACAATTATTTTTTGTGCATCTAGATTGGGTACATTTAAATTGTAAAAAAATTATTAAAATATTAACAAATTTCCTAAAGAGACAAATGTTAGGGAAAATATGGTGATTTCCCACAAGTAAATCAATCAATGGGAATAAAAACTAATGCGGAAAAATTAAATCAAAAGCAACACAAGAATTTTTACGTGGTTCCCTCAATGTAAGGTACGTCCACAGGATCGAAATCCGATTCCACTATCAACCAAATAAGTTCCAAACGATTACAAACGAGTCACTAATGGTCTCACAAAACCACCCT